ATCATCATCAGCACACTCAAACAAGGTGATGAGCTCAATTTTCCTAGTCTCTGCACAAAAAGTCTTCACTCTGGGATTCTTTATCCCCCCAGAGGCCTTTTCCAAGCTCTGTTCGTCGCCTCTCTATTTGCCTCTCTAAAGAGGGGTTAGGGTTCAAAATCTCAAATGAGGTTGAAAAGAAAAATAAGAAAATAAAATAAAATAAAAAGGTCCAAAACGACGTCGTTTTGGACCTTTTTATTTTATTTTATTTTCTTATTTTTCTTTTCAACCTCATTTGAGATTTTGAACCCTAACCCCTCTTTAGAGAGGCAAATAGAGAGGCGACGAACAGAGCTTGGAAAAGGCCTCTGGGGGGATAAAGAATCCCAGAGTGAAGACTTTTTGTGCAGAGACTAGGAAAATTGAGCTCATCACCTTGTTTGAGTGTGCTGATGATAATGAAGCAACAGAGGCCAAGAAAATTGGAAAGAAAATTTTGATGATGACCATGAAATTTTCCTTGGCAATGGCAGCCATACTCAGCAGGTGCAACACATTGATGCCGCCTACATCCCCTTATCTGTTTGTCTCTCACCGCTTCCCCTCGCCTCACCGCCGTCCCTTCTCGCCTAGAGGCCTCATCCAATCTCCAGAGGCAATGTTTTTTTTATTTTTTTATTTTTTTCTTCCTGAAACATAAAAAGAAGAAGAAAAGGGGGCTTTTGATATGGATTTATTGGGTTAGATTTGTTGTTGATTTAAGTGACATGAGGTTAGATTTGTTGTTGATTTGAAGCAAAAATCGGTGATTCTTTGAAGCTAAAATCTGTTTGGGTCGGGGAAGCCGATCCCCGTTAGGGGACGGGGATGGGGATGGTAATAGGTTCCCCGCTGGGGATCGGGGCTGGGGCCAGGGACATTCTTATCATCGGGGATCGGGGACGGGGAAGGTGATCCCCGCCCCGTCTCGTTGCCATTCCTAATCAGTAGTATGTATCAAGCCAAATAATGTAAAGAGGAGAATGGAATGCTCATTTATAGCCCAATTTGGATTAGCCATTAGTAAATTGTGTGACGACAATTTATTTATTTTTAAAAGAATATGAAAAAATTGATGAAAGAAAGCAATGAACCAGAAGAAGGATGTTGTCACGACTTAAACCTGACTCTAAAAATTTAGGCCATGACCGGCCTGTACTTAGACCTCAAAACAAAAATTTTCAACAAATATTCAAATCATATCAGGGCCTAAAGTGAAAGCAAAAAAAATATAATAATGTTCATTGAGCTCGTGCATACCTGCCAGGATCTTTAAAATAGCATCAAGTCATAAAAAGGGCTCACATACACAGTTCATATACTTACACGTCCAAATCATGTAGATCTATACAAAGAGTAACAACCCAAGATTTACATATTAACCAAGTGTTTAACAAAAGTCACCAAAGACTTAACAAAAACGTGGTATTAAAGGATCTCCTCAAAAACAACAAAAGGGCTCTAACTTTGGAGGCTTAACAAAACAGATCCCACAAAAGGCTCCTAGAGCTGACCTAGGGCTGGCCTCCGAGCTGGTCACCTACATAAATATACATAATTACGTAGTGAGCAAGGCTCAGTGGATAATAATAATGTAAGGAGGTTCATGCGAAAGAGCATATGTCTTGAAAAGGAAATATATAACACATACGTATCTTATCTATAATCATATTCCCAAAATGGCCTTGGGCCCACATAAGACGGAATGACCTTAGGCCTAACGTAACACGAAACGACCTTAGGCCCAACATAATACACAACGGCCTCAGGCCCAACATATCAACAGCTGTTCAAAACATTATAGGGTAGATGAAACATCGGCATGTCTCCATCTCCCTCGACTTTAAAGCCACGAATCATAAGTAGTCCATATCATAATGGCCTCGGGCCCATTATTCATAACTGAAGCTGAACGACCGCAAGTCCTTTTCATATTCCATTGTTCAATCATTTCCATTAAAACGTAATTCATATAACATATGCCATCATGCATGATCCTAATTATACAGAAATGCCTAATGCAACACATGCAAAATGCAACTATAGCAGGCTCGGCTATTCTAAATATGGCATATGAAATGCTACAGTTAACATGTATTCAATTTGGAATTAAAAATATAATGCAGTTAGTATGGTGCGCCGAGCCCGGTGCATGCAAAACAGATGAATGAATGCAAACATGCTATCATACTGTATGCTAATTGAAATATGCCCTAGTCTAACCATCATAAGCGGATAAATAAAAGGGAGAAAGACGTGGGGTTGGAAGACATACAACACATGCACGCACACTTATTACAGTTGTGCCCTCGCGCAGAGGGTCCGAATAAATATACAGTCCCGAATAAAAGAATATTACGGTCCAAATATTACAGTCCAAATAATATACAAATTCCTAATTAATTTACAAATTAACTAAGAGAGCTGTAAAACTGGCATGCAAGCCAGGGACTGCCTCGCTTCTGATGAATGATGTATGTTTAAGCTGCCTTGCGCGGAAATTCACCGGGATGCCCCAATTGGCCTCCATTTAGCAGTTATTCTTGGAAAGCGTGCCGAGCTCCAAAAAGTTACTGATTATTCATTTTGCTGCAACAGAGAGCAGGAAAGGGGCATAGCAATGTATTTTCACAGATATATGCATGCCTCGATCCTCGTGCCACCAATCACGCATACCGAGGCATGATGGCTGAGGAGTCGAATTGCACAATTTAATATGGGATGAATGCACATGAAAACACAACAAGACCTAACTCCATCATGGATGATCCGGAGTGTTGGTGACTGGGGAATTGAGATCCATTCCGTTACACAAAGTACGAAATGCACCTCGTTTCCTGTGCCCGGGCTAACTCCTATTCCGAACACAATGCAATATGTATGACATGCATGAAATGCAACTAAGATACAATCCTAACATACACAATGCTATGAAAATGAGACGCCTCGAAATGCGTGCACACGGGCACGCAAACT